GTTATGCATTAAAGGATCGCTCGCAATAAACGGCAATGGTGAAGTCAAACTAGCAAATAATGTGGGTGCTTTTCTTTTCGATTCGTGTACGTACAGCGAAAGCGCAAGGGAGATGGAAACAGTGCGAGATCCTGGTATCGTAAGCGCTGTACGTGCTATGACATGTTATACTCAAGAAGATTCCAGTCATATGGCAATGGCGGGGTGGAATTACCCTAAGGATCCAATTCTACATGCTGCCGATCATTCATTCAACATACAGATGCCTCTTAAGCATGTTTTCAACATTTTCAATGATTATCCTATGATTACGTGTGGTCGTCAAACAATAAGACTAGTTCGAGCTCGAAATGACAACGATTGCATAATTGTCAAAGAAAAAACTCCAGGTCATGTTACAACTGTTAAGATTAACATTACCAATATTGAGCTTAGAGTCAAGCACATATTTCCCAATGATGATATTAAATTGGAACTTATGAAATCCATTCAACAAGATCAACCTATAGTTATTCCTTTTAGAAAGTGGGAATTGCATGAATTACCAGCACTTACCAAAGGCGCTAGACGTGAAGTTTGGGCTGTAAAAACTAGCAATGCAGTGGAAAGACCTCGTTATGTCATTGTTTTCTTTCAAACCAATAAACGTGACAAAAGCGACGCCGATCCCACCTTATTTGACAATATCCACATACAAAGTATCAGATTATCTTTAAATGGAGAATATTGGCCGAACGAGAGAATGCAGTTGGATTTTAGCAAAACTGACTACAATGAGGCCTATTTCAATTATACCGAATTCTATCCTAGCTACATACATTCCCAACAAAAGCGACCTCTGCTCGATTTCTCAGGTTTCGCACAACACACATTGTTCGTCATCGATTGTTCGAAGCAAGAAGAAAGCATGAAAGCATCCACTGTTGACGTAAAACTCGATATTGAAGCGAATAATGGTTTTCCCGAAAATACCAAGGCTTATTGCATTATAATTCACGACTGTGTAATGGAGTACTTCCCTCTCTCCGAAATTGTAAAAAGTCTAAATTAGATGCATAAATTGCCAGTAGTACGCGAGCAGTCATCATGAGAGTAGCATTCGTAGACATTCAGGGATTCAATGTGGATGGATGGTTTGTTCCCAAAGAACTTACCATTGAAATAGGTTTTAAACGAAGTCATTACATCTTCTTGCCTCAGAAACCTTTTAATGCGCTCAGTAGTGAGGATAAGAAGACTGCATCATACGTGGAGAAAAAACTGCTTGGAATTCGATACTCTGATGGACACGTAGAATTGTCCAAAATCAATGAAATACTAGAATCCAAGTTGTTGTATGCAGCAGATTACATCTACGTTAGAGGAGAACAAAAAGCAGAATATTTGGATAAGAAACGTCACGTTTTTGGAGTTTTTCCCATTATTATTGATGTTTGCAAGTTTGATGGTACACCTCATGCTACTGGAAACGTTGGCCCTACTGCAAACCCATGTCATGCCTCTGGATTATTTTCATGCACCGAAAGAAATGTGGATCGTCTACGTCACTGGTTTGCCAATAACATAATGCCATTGTAATTTTATGTATAAATAAATATATTAGAAATTAAACGCTTTTTTATTTATCACATCTTTATTGATCGAGTCTTATATTACAAGAAGATTCAAATTTTCTCCTTACAATTTCGAAAATAATTTTTAAAATTAGAATAAATACAGATGCTAATATTACACAAGACATTGCAAAGACATTGTCTATTTCACTTTTCATATGCTCGCTGGTGTTGTTGCTAACGCCCATGGTATTGGTTGAATACGTCTCAATGGATATGAAGCTGGTGGCAGTTTTCTGCAGGCGTAAATCCAGGTGTCTTGCTGTTGCTGCTGCTGCTGTAGATTCAACTCTTTTGGTTTCCACGTTTTTTCCTCAATATGCAGGCTATCTAATTGTCTTTTAATTTGTTTTATATTCTCATATGATTTAATGTCTCTATTTAACTGATCAAGTTTACGTTGAAATTCCATAACCCTATGTATGTACTCGATGGAATTCATAGTACTACTGAATATGTCCTATGTTGAATGTCACGTTTTATGTCAAGCGATGTCTTGATTGACACATAACTGTTACGTCAAAACGTCTCACGTCACGTAATTCCTACATTTCACGTTCTGTGACAATGTCACATATATGTCACGTCCTGCGTCGAATGTCACGTTATTCACGCAACATTTTCACGTTCTGCGTCGAATGTCACGTCATTTCACGTTCTGCGTCAAATGTCACATAAATGTCATGTCCTGCGTCGAATGTCACATAAATGTCACGTCCTGCGTCGAATGTCACGTCAATTCACGTGTCATTGTACGTTCTATGTCAAATGTCACATAAATGTCACGTCCTGCGTCAAATGTCACGTCCTACGTCGAATGACACGTCAATTCACGTGACATTTCACGTCCTGCGTCGAATGTCACGTTCTGTGAAAAATGTCACGTCCTGCGTCGAATGTCACGTGACATCCAACGCTTTGACACCTCATACGTCAAAATCCAACCAATAGCAACGAAGATACGTTTTAACGCCCATTTGGCAATGCTGCCATCTTTGTTTTTTGTCTCCCCGCCTTCTACCCGTTCCAACGAGCCCTCGTACGCCCCGATCGGACCAATAGAAACAAAGATACCCCATAATGACCTTTTGGCATGCTCCGATGCGCACGGCACATACTGCGTTCAACCCCATTTTTCATCCCCTTTCCAACGAGTCCTCGTACGCCCCGATCGGACCAATAGAAACGAAGATACCCCATAATGACCTTTTGGCATGCTCCGATGCGCACGTCACATACTGCATTCAACCCCATTTTTCATCCCCTTTCCAACGAGCCCTCGTACGTCATCCTACGTTAAGCCGTTTGGAACTTACGACCGGGGTTGCGATTTTAGGGGTTGCAATTTAGGGTTGGTCAGGTAGTACATAGCCTATCTACTCATATCACCGAAAATTTCACATATAGAATAAAGTTCTACACCAAGCTGGCTTATACCATCTCTAGCTGATCCTTGTTTTGACGCTTTCCCGAAAGTTACCCTCCAAAGAATTGTATTCTTAGCGTCGTTACACACACTCTATTTATATATATATATATATATATATATATATATATATATATATATTATATATATATATATATATATATATATATATATATATATATATATATATATATATATATATTTGTCATACTTCTTCTCAGCCAAAGAGAAAATAAAAATTAATAAATAGACCATTTAAATAAATTTTCAAGACATCCTGGTAAACAAAATTTATGTATTAGATTAAGATAAGATTAGATTAACAGAAAGTTTTGCCTGTCAACAACTGATTTTTAAACACTCGCAGGTAAGATCTTTTATATAGAATTAGAAAGCCCATACTCATTATCATCTTTTCGTTGTTTGTATATGACCTAGGATGAAGATATTGTAATTAACCTTTTGTTATAGGAATGAATTATGTGTTTGTAACCAAAGGGAAAGCCAGTTTTAAAGCAAAAATTTTAGTTTCTCGGGAAACAGTAATGGGGTTTTTACTAAATGACTGTAAACAAAATAAAGTTTTTGATTAGACAGTTTTTTTTTTAATGGGAGCATTGATAGTTGATGTATAAGAGAAAGGGGCAGTTGTCATTTGATCATCGAAAGGAAAGGTCGCCTCTCGATAGAGAGTGTGTTCGGGACTTTGGATACCGGCATTGTAAAAGGACGTTAGCAGAATTGTGAAAGGAGATTACAAGTCGATGAAAGAATATTCTTGGATCTAAGAACAATTAAGTTATGTTTTTTAATTTGCTCAATTAATTAAGTAAAAAAAGTGATAACATAAAAATATAATACATATATGGCCTAGCTGGACAAATTCGTGAAGCTTAACGTGCTTGAATCGGTATTAATAAAGTGTTATGATCAATTCGGCCCATCCCAGCCTCATCAGACACTTGGGTTGATACAAATTTCAAATTGTTAATATTTCATGTTCTTCTTCTCGATGTCCCCCTCTTGCACCGCCTGATGTTGCTTATTTTGCCTCTCGGATTCCTGGACTTCTGCTGGTGGCATCCTGGCATCTTCTTCTATAGGTACTTTTTGTGGCATCGTACCTATATCCCTGGTTGGTTGTTCTTCGGCAACCATCCGGCTACACCCTGATTAGGTGTTCGATCAGCTTGGGGGTGTGTCTGTACATCCTCTGGATCCTGTTTCTCTCGAGGATGTCCCTGGCCTTGCGAAGTCTTCTTGTGGCCTGGTGAAAGAAGTATCTGGTCCTTTTCTCAGCCACCTCCCTCAGTGGTGTGTACTAGAGCCTTTCTTTGATGGTTGCATGGAATAGTCTTTCTTCCCATGTTGATCCGTCTATGATCCTGTAACACAATGTCTCTGTGGCTTCAAGTCTCCTCCAGTTGGTCTCCGCTATTAAACTCAAAACTGAGACTGCATACAATATCACCAATCTAACGTAGGCCTGGTTTAACTGGATCTTCTTGGTCTTCGGGTCCGATTCGTTTAAAATTTTGACATTAACCATCTATTGGAATGTATTATACGATAGTAGATTTTTCTTAAGATAGTAGCTCCATCGGGTGATGAGGCTAAGTACTTATCGGGCCGCCTACGTATTGTAAATGATAAGTATTTTTTGCAACTGTTTTATTAGTTAACATATTTGACAATGCATTTAAAACAAGCAATAATCTAAAGAAAAATCACATTTTTGACAAACCTTGTAAAAGACGAATAAAACTTAATATATAAATATGATATTTCAGTTTTTGAACCATAAAAAATAAATTTTTTTTAAAAGAAATTAATGAAAATAATGATAATTTAAGTAGTTACCATATTTAAAATATTTTTTTTTAAATACCATAAATACCTTTATTTAGATACCATTGAATAAAACTTATGTACAAGGATTGCTGAAAAATAAATAATAGTTTCTAGATCTTACCTTTTGTTACTAAATTTTCAAGAATTAAAACAGCGTCGTCATCAGCCTTGTCTTCAACTCCTGTCAAATTAATTCGACCTCCTGCAAAATCTGGATAAAACGAGGGATAAGGTAAACCATGTTTTTTATGAAAGCTTTTTATAGCAGGAATTATATCTCTATAAAAAATGACTTCGTTTTTAGTTATGTTACACGTAGATCCTATAAATTCATCAGTTGTAGACAATTTGGCTAAGAGAGACAAATCTTCATTTTTATCACTAACCTTGTCTTTCAAAATTACATCAATTTTAATGATCTCACTTAAATAGTTTTCTCCAGGCGCCGTTAAATTACTTACTTTGGTATCCACTACAATTTTATTAGGACCGATATAGTCGCTGATAAGTTCTTCAAAATTTTTAATCTTCTCCATTAATATGAAATTAATATATCTCAGTATTCACGCGGACTACGATGTAAGTTAGTTTTTCCTTATATGATTTAAATATTACAGATATAGTTTAACACAACTAGAGACTTTACTTCAAATCTAAAATAAACAAACAATAAATTAAGCAAACACTTTTAAATACTTGTTGAATATGATAAAACTTATAATCTACAATTTTAACAGATGCATTTATTTCAATTATTAATAATAAGATAATATTCCGCAACTAATGATGAATTGTATAAAACTGACTGCACACTTCTATAAAATTGTAACACAGCAGTAGAAAAATTTATTGTATCATATTTAAAATACCTATTATTCTCACATTTTTATATAAAGCAAATTGTCCATTAGGGTAGAGCTCAAGTTTATTTTTTCGAATTTCATTTTTGCGGGGTGCGGAATTGAAGTGATGCCGAGGTGTAGCGTGTTGACGCTGTCCTTTTATTATAGTTGAATTAGCAGTTTTGGTTTCTTAACTTGCGTCTTCCATTTTCGAATGAAAAACTTAAATGACATTTTTTCTTATTTTCAGTCTGAAATGTGCCCCAAATTGATTGAAATTTTGGAATTTTGTAAAAAAAATATCAATATCAACCCATTATCGTTAACAGAGTTAACGATAATGGGTTTTATTCTTTTATTTGAGCTATTAGGATTATAAATAATGCGAAGAAAAAAAGAAAAAATAGTGAACACAAAAAAAAAAAATATGCTTACAAATTTAAGAATAACATAAAAAATCATTATGAATGATAGTCTTTCTTTCTGTCAAATTTAGGCATCAAATGGAATGATTTCAGCTTATTCTTAATAAATCCATCTCTGCTCTGTGTTCACGGATGGCAGCACTTGCTTCTGTAACTAATTTGACACACTTTTCAGTGGATTTTTTGTGACACGGAATTTTTTAATATTCTTCAGGATTTAATTTTTCGACAAGCTGTGGCTCTATGATGCCCTGAGATATTATTTCGGTACTGATACTCTTCGTTAGTGGAGGTTCAATCTTGGTTTTCCAATCTATCATATCGATATAATTATGAGCATCCATATTTAAAGTAGGTACTTGGAAAATACACAAGGCTCCGATGTTTGATGTCTCTCTGATCTTCAATATTCTGCAGAGTGCAAGTTCTCTGACGTACTGTCTGTTGTCGGCTAACATTCCTAGTAGTAAATTCTCTGAATGTTCAAAGAATGCATTTCTCTGTATGACTGGGTCAATAATATTCTTCAAATGGTTTGGCAAATAGCGCGACAGTTTTTTCGTATCATATAAATACACATTGGCTCAGTCTTGATCCTGAACCACATAGGAGCATAGACCGTTAAAATAAATGTGCTTAGTATAATTAGGTTTTCTGACGGAGTTTCACTTGAGACATATAATCTCAATATCCGGTTTGCCATTGTCAACCATGTGGAGTGAACTAGTTTACCAGGATTTTTTTTCGCAAAGTTTTCATCACAATGTCCACTGTTGATATACTGACATATTTCTAGTAGATACAGTTGATCGGTGCTTAACTGTTGTGTCGATTTGGTAATATCGGATAACGCACATTTAATCGCATCAAACGGAACAACTGGTAACACTTCACAGTTAGTAATTGCCTTGCCAATGAAACCTATGAAACCTTTTGGTCCACTTGTAGTGTCATCTAAATGTTGAAAAAGGTGACGCAATGGCAGTTCATTAGCGTGTAGTCGGCATACGAGCCATTGGAGAAGACGTTAAAACTTGATTTTCAATAAACGAATAACACCACCTTTGATTCCTATGTTCACGGCAGTCCCATTACAATCAATAGCCATTATTTGATTTGCATCGATGGATTTGGAGGAAAGGAATGTCAGCATAGAGTTGCAGATCGTTTTGGCGTCACCAGTTTTCAAAGAAATATGGCCCAGGTATTCAGAGTCCGGTTCTTTCAATATAGTAATATGCTCCTCCTGAATCACTCTTCTACGACCATCTTCATGTATTAACGTTTTATCTTTTCTACCATCGTAAAATAATCCGATGATAGCCCAAAAAATTGTAGGTTTACCTGTCAATGTAGCCCTACCTTTAGAACGAGCACGTCGAACTGTACTTCGGTCTATAACCAGTGATGAATCGTTTTTAGTAATGAGACCAATGTCTTGGAAAGCTACAGAAATGATTGCAGCTCCAACTCTATCTGAAACACCATAACGATCTAATGTTCTGGCAATAACTGAAAATGTAACATCAGTCATAGTGAGTGAAGAAGTGGAAATAATTAATTGCGATTGGAAGTCCTCAATGTCACCGTTTTTCTTTAATGTACCTGACTGTTGAACATTCAGTCGTATCTTTAAAGTTGTAGGTGATTTAGAAGTACTAGGAATGAATTCCACATCTATTTGCAAGGCTATTTGTTCTTCACGTTGCCTTTGTTGGTGTAACCTATATAAATTCACCTCATTTTTTTTGTCGCTTCACAATCTAAACTACCAATAATCATTTTACGGTCAGTTTTTGGTCGATTAAGAAATTTCGTTCTGGTATTGGAATTTTTCGGTTCTAGGATAGCTGCAATCTGTGAACTCTAAACATTTGCAAGTAGCAATATCAAACAATTTCTTGCTATCCTTACCAAACTTAAACAGCTTTCCTTTGTAACCAACTTCGTCCTTTCTACCTATGTATGGCACACACACACACACACACACACAATCACGCTAAGCGATCAACCCTACCCCTAGGAACATGTGTATACCAATATAAGAATGGGATCCACATGTCCGAAGATCAAACCGGTCACACTTCACTAGTTGAAGTGGTACCTATCTGACCCCCAGGCTTTTCCTCCACCCCTCCTCATCGTACGACTGACGTGAGGAGGCTATGATCTGAAAGTTACCTGAGATGCCCTGGGTAATGAGACATCTCCTGTTTTTAATGACTGTGGTTATGCCACCTAACTGTAGGGGTAGCCACATCTAGGCTTTTCTCCGTAATTACTTTACTGACTCTATTGATTTTACTCGGACTGCACTTCGGGACTGAAGTCCCTAACATAAAAAGAATAAAAATAGCGTGTGTGTTCCGTCCATGAAGTCGACAGCCTGGGCTGTCGACTTCATGTCCGGAAAGATATGTGTGTGCTCGGTCACTCAGCCGCCGATTTGGCAAAATAAATTTTGTTCTCCTCGCCGGCTGGGCACCCGAGAGGGTCCGGCCACCAAGCTCATGTTTGCCGCACATGGTCTCAGTGCTCGGGAGTCGCGAAAGGATCAGTATTCATTTGATCCGCCTTAAGGGCCAATTCCGCATCAGCGGTATATAGAAGGCCTGACGGGTCTTCTATATAGAAAATTGGTATGAATTACGTTAAGTTAAGTTGAGATAATTGAATTTAAGTTTGAAATAAATCTGCTGAATTTAAAAGAAAAACAACCATTTTTTTTTTTTTTTTTTTTTTTTTTTTTTTTTTTTTTTTTTTTTTTTTGGGGTTTTGGGGGGTCTTCCTTGGCGATGGAACAATAAAATGCCTGCACAATTCTTACCCTTTTATTCTTACATGCTAAATATGTGTGCGGTGTGGTGGGGTGTGCATTGCAGGGTGTATATGGCCTCCACACACCCCGGTGTATATTGTCCTTAACTAAGTGCCTTGGCACCTGTACCCTCTCGCCAGAGTCCTAAAAAATAAGATTTTTTTTGGGGGTTGTTTTTCTGATGACTGCATTTTTTTATTCGACGTTTTTGCGACCATCTCATTCTTCATTTATTAGTTTGGGACCCTATATCCGGCTATTTGCTGTTTAGGTCTTCTGTGTAGTGTCCTGGTGTTTGCATTGTAATTAGTCAGCTCTCTTAGCATGCTACTTGGGTGGTTATTTAATCCGTTAAAAAGTTCATATGCCTTTTTATCCATTGTATGTAGGATCCTTGTTTGTCCTGAGTCTCTGTATAAATTTCTCAGAGGTACATATCTCGGTAGATTTAGAGCATCTCTTATCAATTGATTTTGAGCTGTCTGTATCTTTTTCCTGTTTGTTTTACAGGTGTGTCCCCATGCTGCGGAGGCATATGATAGGACTGGCAGGATAATACTATTAGCTATTCTGATTTTAGTTTTAAATCTTAGCTTGCTTCTTCTGCCGATAAGCGTTGAGAGCTGACTTTTCAGCGCTTTGGCTCTGTACGTTTGTTGGTTGATGTGCTGCGTAAAGGTGAGTTTTTTGTCTAGTAACACCCCTAGGTATTTGGCCTCATTTGTCCACTCTACTGGGGTGTTTCCGATCATTAATTCGCGGTTAGGTACACTTCTTCTGTGACTAAACATTACAGCCTGTGTTTTGTCCGGGTTTAAGGCGATTTTCCATTTGATGCACCATCTTTCGAATCTACTTAGTGCTCTCTGCAGATGATTAGCTGCATGATCTGGATTCCTCCAGCTAACAGCTATTGCTGTGTCGTCAGCGTAAAGACTCAACAGGGATCCTGGTTCTTTTGGCGTGTCGGCCGTATAGATGGTATACAGGTAAGGCGACAGCACAGCTCCCTGAGGCACACCTGCTTCCAGGATTCCGACTTCGGACAGGGTTGCCCCTGTTCGAACCCTGAACCTTCTGTTGGCTAGGTATGATCCAAGGAGGCATGTCATCGCCTCGCTGTACCCCATGGTGTTCATTTTATATATAAGTCCTTCATGCCAGACCCTGTCAAATGCTTTACTGACGTCCAGAAATGCTGTTGCCGTGTACATTTTTTCGTTGAAGCCTTTCGTTGCAAATTCTGTGAACCGTAGAACTTGTAGTTCACACGAATGTTCGCTTCTGAATCCGAATTGCGCTTCAGGTATGGTGCCTAATGCTTCTGATTCATCGTTGAGTCTTTTTAGTATGACTCTTTCTGCTATCTTGCTTATTGATGATAATAAGCTGATAGGTCTATAATTTTGCGGAAAAGCGCCGTCTTTCCCTGGTTTCTTTATCATAATTATGTGTGCCTCTTTCCATCTATCCGGAAAATATCGTAGTTTAAGCATGTTGTTAATGATGTTTGTTATGTAGACAATAGCTTTGTTGGGTAGATTTTTCAGTGCCCTGTTTGTGATATTATCAGGACCTGGGGCTTTTTTGGCGTTAGTTAGCTTTATTAGCTCTTTTATTTCTTCGGGGGAGGTATGTGTAATTCCTACTCTGCCCTTTCTTCTCTTTATTCTTCTGGCTGTTCTTTCTACCTCTTCTTCGAAATCTATGTCTTCGTTGGGGTTTTCATTATTTCTACATGCTCTTTCTAGTTCGTCCTTTAGGACTTCAGCTTTGTCTATTTCCGTGTGGACAATCCCGTTTAATCCATGTAGTGGAGGTATGGGTTTCTTGTCCTGTCGGAGGATTTTCGATAATTTCCAGAAGGCGGATTTGTTAGGGTCTAGATCTTGGATATAGTTGTCCCAGCTTTCATTTCTGTGATTACGTAGTTGTCTTTTAACTTCCCGGTCTAGCTCATTTGCAATCCTTTTGTCTTCTACTGTTCTAGTACGGTAAGCTCTTCTTCTTTTTCTGTTCTTTTCTTGGATTAATTCTTGTAGTTCGTGACTTATGTCTCCGAATCTTCCTTTTTGTCTTGCTACTGTTTCCGTTTTGGAGCTGGCATCGATAGCGTTAATTATCGTATTTTCTAGTTTTGTTACTGTGTCTTCTAGTTCTGTGATGTTATTTATTGTTGGAATGTTACCGATGTTTTCGCTCACAATTCTTCTGAAGTTTGACCAATTTGTTATTTTTCTTTTGTGGGGTTGCAAATAGTTTAGTTCTATTGCTCCCAGGGTCAGGACGATTACATTGTGCGTTGAATCGCCTTCATTTAGAGAGTGTATCTCGTATTGTTGACCCACGTTGTGTAGGATTGCAATGTCTATGTGTGTTGGAAGTTGTCCGTGAAAACAGGTCGGTTCTGTTGGTCCGATCACATATGTATTTGGTCTATTTTCGAGATGGCCGCAAAGACGTCTCCCGTTGTTGTTGGTCGCTCTATCGAACCAGTTGGGAGATCTCGCATTAAGGTCTCCAATAATTACCGTAGGTTCATCTGTGTCGAGGATTAGGCTCAAGTCTTCATCGAATATCGGTTCGTTGGGTCTGACATAAGCTGACACTATTTTTAGTGTTTCGTTGTTGGCCTTTAATCTTACTAGCGTGGCTTCCATAGTGACCAGTCCACCTGGTGTTGGGATGTGTTCGTGTTCTAAGCCTTTTTTAACTAGTATGGCTGTTCCTCCTGATCTTGCTCTGTGGTCAGTTCTATAGATATCGTAACCTGGAAATTTAGTTTTCTTCCTTTCCACTAATTTTGTTTCTTGAAGGGCTACGATATCGAGCTCTAATCTGTTTATTATCTCGTCCAAAAGGTTGAGTTTTTTGAAAATTCCTCCGGAATTCCAGGACCCTATGCGTAGATCTTCCGTATGGTTTGCTAGCATTGTCGATTTATTTCACCGAATGCAGTCATCATTTTTGTGGCCCTATCCATCACGGACATCATCTCCATCATTCTTTTGTTATATTCCGTTTGGAATGAAGCAATGAGTGCGGCTGCGTCTTGCATTGTTGGGGCCGCTTGTTGTGGGGCTCCTTTGGTTGCTTGCGCATAGCTGAAACCCGCGGTTGTTGTTGCTGGGTTTATTGGTTTGGCTGCCGGTTTGACGGGGGCAGGGGTCTTTCTTTTAGGAGCTTTAGAGCATCCTCTGTAATTGGCCGTATGCGCCTGGTCGCAGTTGGCGCATTTTGGGGCCGTTTCTTTGCTCTTTCCGCACTCATTGCTAAGATGATTTTCTCCGCACCTTACGCACCTAGAGTCGCAATGACAAGCCTTCGAAGAGTGGTAATAACCCTGGCAGTTGAAGCACTGTAGGGTGTCTTTTGTTGTTTTGAATTCGTCTTCGAAACGAACTCTCATATAGCACAAGTTTGTTACTTTTCTTATTTTCTGTATGTCATCCTCTTTGAGGGTGATCATGAAAAAAGGCAGTATTGCTTTTCCTTCTTTTTTAGAGTACATGTTACTGACTCTGGTTGCGTCTATGTTCTTATTTCTCAATTCATTGAGAATAAGTTCGGTACTTGTGCTCGATGCGAGCCCTTTTAGAATAACCCTCTTTAGCTTATCGCTGTCTATCGGGTAGGCAACGTATTCTACCTTAGGGGAATGTTCCTCTAGGATTTTTACGACTCCTAGGTAATCTTCCCTATTCTTCGTGTTAATGACAATAGATCTGCCTGATCTGGCAAACTTATTGTCAGAAACGATACCTTTTTTGGCCGCTTTCTGCAGGATTGCTTGATGTTCTGCGACCGTCTTTAAGATGATCGCAGGAGGTTTCGGTTTCTTAACGTTAACCTCAGTAGGTATCTGAGGGTTCACGTCGTTTTCTTTTTCAACTTGGGGCTCTTTTG